TCAATAAATATCAAAAAACACCTTTTTCTATATAATTAAAATAATTTCATCTTTTTTTTATAGTACTCCGAACTGCGGTTTGGAGTACTAATTTTTTTGATGAGTTTTACCTCCACCAGATCCAACCTGGCAAATAATTAAATATACAGGGTGTTAGGTTTTCCTAAAATAGGAAGTTCCAATCATTTCTTTCCCTCTAGGAATATATTTTAAAGGGGGAAGTAAATATTTGCATTTTACTTCTGGAAATAGCATATAATGCAAAAAAAGTGATCAAGAAAGTCTTTATGCAGAATGTAATAATAACATTGGACAAGCAACTGCTGATATTTAGGAAAAACGTGATTTGACGAATATAAAAATTGGAAAATATCATTACTTCTAATGCTATTATCTGTTCGTTAAACTATTACATAGAAAGTTTGTGAACGAAATTAATTACACGGGAAGCAGAGAAGATTTTGTAAAAAGATTCATAATTTAGAATTTCTTTGGAAACAAAACAAAAAATGCAATTAAAAATTTTGTTGAAAGAAATCTCACCTTCAAATTAACCGATACCATAGAATTTTGGTTTGACAAATTTCCTGAGGAAGAATAGCAATTTGTTAAAGATGCATTTGAACTACTTTACAAGAGTTATTCCAAAAACTGAAAACTTTCAGATGATTTGTCTGTGTTATTGAAAGATCTTTCTTATCAGTTTATCTTCTGGTCATGAGTTTTGGATTGTTAAACTGTAATTCTTAAGATATATTTGAATGACTTTTTTATCAGTCAAAAAAAATAGTTTTTGTTAAACCTATTAATGTTAGTGTTTTCCTGTGAAAGAACAGAATCACATGACAGTTTTTGTACTGTAAATTATTTAGAGATAGATTTGAACTAGAGTCTTACCAATCGAAACCTCTGAAAATTTGTACCCCATACTATAATTCCTGAAGAAGAAATGACACTTGTTAAAGGTGCATTTGAACTACTTTACATGGAGATATTTAAAAAATCCAGGAGTTAACAAAGAAATTGGCTAGTTTTTTTTTAGAGGTTTTTCTTCTATTTGTGTTTATACAAGACGTGCCAACTTTTGCTCATCAAACTGTAAAATTTTTAAAGATAATTTTGAACTACTTTTTGCACTATTCCAAAATCCAGAAGATTTCTTTACATATATTTACTGGTCCTTAATAAAATAAATGATTTAATTAATTTTTATTAGAGTATAGCTGTTCCAGTTGAACTATTAAATATGATATTTTAGACAATTCAAGAAATACTTCCCGATGCCTAAAAGGCCATTTTAAAAATAAATTTTTGAGGTAAAATTGACAGATTGAATGTTCGTTTTGAAAAATCTAACACTTTGCATATGTATATCTGTCCTATCTGGCACAAAAAAAATGGAATGTACCATTAAAGCATTCACAAAATCAAAATATCCTTAACAAAATTTGAATCTATCAAAATTTGTTTACTTTTCGTCGTTAGCGCGGATTTTGAAAGCATACATTGCGATTTTTTAACCGAAAAAGATCAGATACATAGTATTGGATAGTTTTATACAATGACATTGAAGCAGACAATACAATACAGAGTTAAATTATAAGAAAAAGGATTTCCAAAATATAAAATAAGAAAAAGTTTCTGGTGAACCAACAAAAAACTTTGTCAAAGAGATTTTTCTTATCGAAAACAGCATTAACAACAATAAATATGCCAAGTAAATAGTTACACTTGTTAGCTTAGAGCTAAAACATATTCCACAGCAACTCAGAGGAATGTACAACTTCTGCAAGAGTTAAAGGTAGAAAATACACCAGAATAAAGCAACTTAATAACCTAATTATTAACATATCAATGAAAAATAGTGATAATCGATTTGAGTGTCGTGATTACCTGTTACGATATAATTCGAGTTCACAGAAACACTTAGAACTTTGTAACTACAACGATCCGGTATCTACAGGATTCGACATCACAATCTATAGCACTTCTAAATATCTTATAGCGCGTATTTTCGTTATCAGTACCATACGAGACTATCAGGCACAGGTAAAAATCTTAAAATTAATTCCTCAGATCTGGTAAAATTTTGGGTCACGTAATCTGAATACGACGCCTTAATTGGTTGAAATCATCAAAACTTCACACATTTTTCAGAAAATCTGGGAAATATTTTTCTGGGATTAGAATTCCGTTCTCTGGTCACATAATCTAAAATTTATTAGCAATATCTCAAATAGGAAAATTTTTTAATATTTTGTCATTTAGTACCATTTTCCGCTAACATCGCATATTTGCCCTCAAAATCTGCTGCCAAATACGTACAAAGAGTACCAACAACTAAAACGAACCGTACTTATCGTTTTCCTTCGTCTATTAACTAGACTTAATAAGAAATACTAGATAAGCCAATCAGATCCTACAATCCTTACATTACCTACATAAAAAAATATTATTATAGTTTTCGTTAATATCCTAAGCCAATGTGAGCGCCAGAAAAACATTCCAACAAACTTTTTTATAGTACACATTGGACAAACAGTGAGAATAATTGGGAAAAACAGAAAGTATGGCTCGTTTTTTTCAACAGAATTAGGAAACTATTGAATCGCAAGTAAGAAAGAATCAAATACATCGAATACACAGTCAGTCTTTTTTTACATAATATGATAATACAATTTATCTTTTTTCTTGGTGTATAATTATTTTTAATAATGGAATTCTATGACAAAACGGTAAGAAATCATATATTTCTTCAAATACAAAGGTATTATAAATAAAAAAAAAGGTAATTTTACATGTATATATGATTTCTCTGTTAAACTGATATTTCAGCAACATTTGAACAGTAAATAGGAAACAAAATGTCCCCAGATTGCAGCTCAATTTAACCAACAATTTAACAGCATATTTGAGAAGAATTTAAACTATACATTCTTAAAAGATGCAGAACATCCATGAAATATTACCCCATTTTTACACCAATGTATTAGTAAGGGCATATACAGTAAGTAGCTTGATTTCTACCCAATAAATATGACAAATCCTATGGTTGTGACTGATATCCTACTTCCTTTTTTCATAATGACACTGAATATTATAAAATAAAAAGGGTGAAGAAATACGTGATTACAAAGAATAGCAAAATTATTTTGCTTAGCAGAACAAGTAAATTTAACATGAAGAACACTATGGTAATATTTGGTTTTTACTTGAAATAAACTGCCAGTAGGATCATTCGCACTATAGAAAATTAAAAAATGATTAGACGTCCCTAGACTAAAACACCATACAATGCAAACGTATTGTGAAGAGCAAATTCAACAATAAGGATGTCTTCAACCACAAAATATAACAAATAGTCTTATTTAGGACATACATTTGACTCAGGTCACATACATACTGTCATTTTTGGATGTACGTAGGATCTCAAAAAACTGTTACAGCTTGACAAGAGACTGACAGAAGGTAACATCATTCTTTGTATAAATAAGTTGTATTGTATGTTGTTAGAAGGTTTTTTGGATTGTAGACCTCTTGCTCAAAATAACCTTAAAAGTTTAAAGGAATGAGATCCAGCTCATGTAGTGGACACATCTACGATCCACCACAGTCTATATATTGTCAATATATTGATACCACTTACAATATTGACCTAATAGTGAGTTTCATCTAAAATCGTTTCAGTTTCACTCAAAAATTCATAGGAATTTGATTTAGGAAATATGTTATCTGTATCTTCCATCCACCACTCTTTTTTTGGCGTGATTCAATTTATGAACAATATTCTATGTTGCCTAAAATTGTTTTAGTTTCGTTCTAAAAATCAAAAAGAATGAGATAAAGTTCGCGCAGCTGCCACATCTTTAGGACACCATGGTTTATGCTGCGTCAAAGTACTGATGGACAATATTGATCTAGTACTGCGAAATTCCATCCTTTTGTCGCGTTTTGCTGAAAAAGTTACAAGAATGAGATCTAGGTAGTGGCAGTATCTTTCATCTACCACTGTCTCTTCAGCGTCAAGTATTGAAGTTGAGATCAGGCCAAGCTCCATCTTTAGTTAGTTTCAGTAAAAAAATCCAAATAATTAGATCCACTTAGCGTGCTGGTTAAATCTAGTATCCACAACTGTTTATCTATTGTTAATATGTCGATCTATTGAACAATATTGACTAGTAGTGCGAAATTCCTTGTTTGTTTCAGTTTTACTAAAAAAATTTAGAAAAATGAGATCCAGATCAGTGTAGTTCGTTGTATCTTTCTGACACCACTGTTTTCCAACATCAAGTATCGAACTCGTGAACAATACTGACGTAGTGATGTGGAATTTTGTTTCAGTTCCAGTCAAAAAATCCACAGGAATGAAATCCAGTTCAAGCGGTGGTCACTTATTGAATCCACCATTGTTTTTCCTACGTCAATGTATCGATCTCAAGGACAATATTGAGCTAGTAGTGCAAAATTACATCGCTTTGTCATATTTTACTAAAAAATCTAGGCAGGGAGGTCTAGGTAGGGTGGTGGCCATATGTAGTATTGATGTCGTCAAACTCTACATTTTTGTTTAAATTTGCTTCAATTTCAGTAAAAAAGTATAAAGGAATGAGATCCAGTTGATGTGTGGGCCATATCTTCTACCTAGCACTGTTTATTCATCATCAATATTTGAACACTTGGAAAATATTTACATAATGTCAAGTAAATCGGTCTTCCTGTTTAAAAATGTTTAAGCTTGAATCAAATGAATAAGATCTGGATAGTACAGTCACCATTTTACCCCCTGCTATTGCCTATGGGCTAAAATGAACCACACTGAGGTAATAAAATCAAAAGATTAGACAAAGTTGGGGAACAAAAGTCGTTATTGAGTTTTATCAATAAAACCTGCGTTTAATTTGGTGATACACGGTTAAGGACAATTGATATAAATGTCCTAAATGACACAGACACTCTAGTACACTAGACAGTATAAAACAAAAATAAAAACATATAAAACTGAATTTTTATCACCTTTTATTAATGCCTCAACAATAATATATACATAATATGTTGCCGTAGTGGTAGCTATACAAAATTTAAGTGGGACTTACAGTCTGATACTAGAAACAATTACTAGATTGTGCTATATCAGAATGGTAAATTGATCTCTGTGTGTATTCGACCATCTCTCGAGTGTCTTTGCGATTCAAACTCGTTTCCTAAACCGCTCAACCACCAGTCAAAAAATTGTCAGATCGCAACGTGGCGCGCAACTCCAAAATTGCACTAAGAACAAAAAAAAAAAGAAAAATTAAATGAATAGGAATAAAATTTGTTTGATACATTTCGTGATGTCCTCTTGGCGAATGTCCGTAGAAAGGCAGTAGGGCGGAAGGGGGCCGTGGGCCGCCAGCGCCCAGCGTCAGTACCGGGAGTCCGTCATCTCTTGATCGTACTCCATAACTAGTCTTTTGATGTGCGACAACTTGTCGTGCAGATATTGAAACCGCCGCATCGTCCGCTGATGGTCCAGGTTCTTGTTTTCTTGGTATTCACGAACTATCTGCTTTTTGATGTCCTACAAACAAGACAATAATAAACTCACCGGTTGATTTCAACCTTAATTAAGTACACTATTTTATAGGTTACAATTAGAGGTACGAAATTTTCGCAAATAAAAAAACATGAATTTGGCATTTATTTTTGAGTAAAACAACAAAAAACATTAAAGGCTGACATCGTTGTAATTTCGACATTCGACTCTTTAAGAGCTGTTCTTCGATCTGTCACTACAATATTATATTCGCTGAAGAATCGTTCTGCGTCTACGCTGTTCGTTGGACTCCAGATGCTCCGTAATACTGCTTTATCAAATAACGGAAAACTGCACTACGTAGCAAGCAAAATACCCTTTACATTTGGATCTTCGTGCCTTCGTATCGATTGAAGGATTAATCTATGAAACTGAGTATATCCATCTATGTACTCATTTTACAAGGTCTTCCGATAGTGATTTTCGAAGTTTGACAGTTGGTAGCGGCCATATTGTCTGTCAAATTAGCTGTCATTTATTCAGGCGTAATCCTTTTCCGTTTATGTCACGTGGAAGTGATGTGAATTGACTACTGAAATCGTGCCATTTGACGCTGTTACCCTCTTTCCTGTTGAGTTTTTCGTAAGTCCCGGATGTATGCGAATATGCCAGAATTCACATCGGCCCTTAAAGCCTGTATGTGGTTTAAGCGTAAAAGTTACGGAAAATTGGACATTACGCATGAGCGCCACTCAGAGAACAAAGAGCTTAATTACAGACCCTACAGAAAGCTATCAGCTATTATATAAGTGATGACTATATGTGAATTTAGGAAACATTTCTCAATACTTTATTTTTTATAAAACGGCATTCAAATGAATTTTATATATAATTATATTAACTTACTTTATATTTGGGACTATTTTCGTTTTCTTTCTTCAGGCGTTCTTCTAACTGAGCGAACCTTCTGGAAACTTTCTCTACAATACTGTGCAAATCACGATACTCGGTATAATCGGCATTGAAGTCCGCCTTATACCGTCTCCTTTGATCGGCATCCTGTATGGTAACGTATTGCCTGCAAATAAAGAAAATGTAAACAATATATATAAAAAATACGAAGAACAAGTATCATGGACGCTGTTTGGATTCCACGATTCCTTAGGCACCCGAGAAGCTCTATTCGCTGTCCAAGTGCTTATGCAAAGATGCAGGGATGTTAACTATGATGTGTATACTTGTTTTATCGACTACAAAACGGCATTTGATAGAGTAAAGCATGATAAACTTATAAACATCTTGAAAGAAGTCAGGTTAGATGAAAGGGACTTGAGAATCATCTATAATTTATATTACAACCAAACAGCCAACATTAAAGTGGATGACCAATTGACAGAGGCAGTCGCCATAGATAGAAGAGTGAGGTAAGGATGCATTCTGTCCCCGGTGTTATTTAATATATATTCTGAATGTATCTTCAAGCAAGCGCTAGGAGAACTACAAGAAGGCGTATTAGTCAACGAAATGCGTCTAAACAACATTAGATATGCTGACGACGCAGTAGTCTCGACGGTTTGCAAAGAATCATGTCGCGTATATCACATATAAGTACAGAACACGGAGTTGATCTTAATATGAAGAAAACAAAGTACATGGCAGTCAGTAAGCGCGAAATATTAAATACACAGCTTTTGGTTAACCAACATCCAATTGACAGAGTGGACAGCTACACATACCTTGGTACCAACATTAAAATCCAATGGGATCACTCCAGTGAAATAAAACAACGCATAGGAAAAGCAAAATCTGGGTTCATAATGATGGAAGTCTCTGTTCAGAAGTCACGATTTACCACTTGCTACCAAAATCTCTATCATTAGATGCTATGTATTTTCTACGTTATTATACGGAGTAGAGGCCTGGACATTTTCCGAAGCTTCTTTAAGAAAACTCGAGGCGTTCGAGATGTGATGTTACAGACGTATTTTAAGAATTTCATGGGTGAATGTGTGACTAATGTTGAGGTTCTACGTAGAATAGGCAAGGAATGCGAGATTATTAACACCATCAAAGAGCGCAAACTAGAATATCTTGGCCATGTTATGAGGAAAGAACAGAGATACGGCTTGTTGCAACTCATTCTTCAGGGCAAGGTACTTGGAAAGAGGACCAGGGAGAAGAAAGAAGAATATCTTGGCTTCAAAACCTGAGAAAGTGGTTTAATACATCGACAACCGCCAACATCGCCTACATCCGGAACGGATAAGCACCTAAGAAGAAAAAGAAACTACATTTGTTTCTTTGCACTGTGCACATTGTTGGACTTTGTAGGGTTTTAGGTTCAAGTTTTGAATGTCTTTATGGCACTCAAAAGTATGTGAACGGTGCCTTAAAACTCACCGTTTTAACCCTAATTTTTAAAATCTTTCGCCCAACCCCTTCCCGAAAATCAGTCCTAGATTCACCCTTGATTATTAACTAATTTATAACAACCTATCGCAAAAAAACGTATTTAATAATAAACGAATATATTTTGTGAACTTACTTTTTATAATCAGGAAATTCTTCGTTCTCATTTTCGTTATTGAAGTTTCCATCAACATCGCCGTTAGGCAACCCTTCTGTCTGGCTGTCGGGGCTCACTCTAGCTATCCTATTTTCTGTTGAGGACGTGACATTCGTGTATTTGTTATTAACAACTCTATCATTGATCCTATCATTGACTCGATCATTGATGCGATCGTGAACTCGATCATTGATGCGATCATTAACTCGATCATTGACTCTATCATTGACTCGATCATTGACTCTATCATTGATCCGATCAATGACTCGATCATTGACTCTATCATTGATTCGATCAATGACTCGATCATTGACTCTATCAATGATTCGATCATTGACTCTATCAATGATTCGATCATTGACTCTATCATTGATTCTATCAATGACTCGATCATTAACTCTGTCATTGATCCTATCGTTGACTCTATCACTGACTCTATCGTTAACCACATCTTGTGGCCGATTTTGGTGTTGCGATCGGCTGACACCGTTCGGTATTCGATTTACAATGCCGTTTTGTCGATCACTAGGCGGTTTGTCACGATCCCACTTATCGGCCTGCAGCATCTTCACGGCCGGAGATATACTACGACTATCCACGAATGTCTTTTCTTGACTTACTTCAAAACTGTAAAGAAAATACACAAATTTACCAACAAAAGATGAAAACAACTCACAATTGACATATACAGGATGCGTTAAACCTCTGGCTTTCTTTGATTACGGCTAAGCTATGGAGTATATAAAAAATGTTTCAAACAAAAATGATGTAGAACAAAGACGTCTATAATTTACAAATATTTTCGATTATATATGGTCAGTCGAAATAACGGAATAAACAGAAGTTTTGTTTTTTAAATGGAACACCCAGTATATTAAACCACTTCTGAATATATTTTTAAAAAATATTAAGTATTTATATTAGATTTAATAGTCTATACCACCGTAGCCGATCCAACTATAGCTCTAGTTATTATTTAGCACAAGCCTTAACATTTATTGTATGATGTGGTGAATCTCAGTCATGTTGAAACCACATGTTTTGTATAATTCTCAAGTGAACATCCTCTAACAAGCCAGGCAACGCGCCTGTTAAAAACCTATAATACTTATTGTCAGTAACTGTTTGGGAAAATACAGTCCAGTTATATGTGATCCAAGAATACCTCCCTAATTATTCAACGACCACTTCCTGTACTGGGACGGAAATAATTGAAGATTTTTCATCGGAATAATATTGATAATTATGTCTGTTAACGAACCTACTTTTATCCCTTTTAACCATCGAGCAAAAAGACAAAAGAGGGAATGTAAAGGTAGTGGGGACAAAAATATTGTTAGACAGGAAGTGTGATCTTTAGAGGGTACATTAAACAAGGAAAGAGAGTCTCTCTCCTTGTTTGACATCAAATTTAGTTGGGTTATGTTATTGTTTGTCCTAAATGTCACATGAAATCTTATTTATATTGATGTTTTTTACCAATTGTGTCACATTTTAGACTATTATCGTTAATTTTTAATTAACGATAAATAACAACTTTCTCGTCTGAAAAATATTTTATAGCTATTCTTAATAAGCGTCGGAAAATTTAAATTTAGCGCCTTTGCATTTCCGGATATGTCCGCCATTAGAGGCCACTTTTTTGGTCTCCTTTTCATAACAATTAGATTCCCTCTTTTGTCTTTTTGCTTGATGCTGTTAACCCCCCTTTTATCATGGCGAATAATAAAACAAAAGGAAATGGTCCCCATGAAATGTGGGTAAGAAAATTTCTGAATCCCACATCTCAAAGGTCTGCCTCACGGTATCTGGAGTAGGCAATAATTTGCTTTTAATAGATAAAAACAAAAACCCACTAAGACGAGCACAACATAAATCAAAAAAATCCGTCAACCTGTCAATAGGGACATACGGATAGATCAATGTCCATGGATGAAAAAGTACATGAACTGGAAGAAGAATTAACAAACATAAAATGTGATATCATAGGCCCAGATCGTGTCGCCTATGTCATACTTAAAATAAGAAGAACATCAATTAAAATTATCCAGTTATATGCCCCCACGACAGCTTATGATGACGAAGGTATCGAACTATTTTATGAAGATATATCAAAGGCTATGGAAGAACATAAAAATTGTCTTACACTAGTAATTGAAGATTTCAATACCAAACTGGGTAGAAAACTAAACAAAGAAGAAACTAAAATAGGAGATTTCGGGTATGGTCAGAGAAACGATAGAGGTGCTACTTTGATGAACTACCTAGAAGAAAAGCATCTATACGAAATGAACTCCTTTTACAAAAAGAAGCCTAAACGAAAACGGACATGGATCAGCCCTAATGGATCCACAAAAAATGAGATCGACTACATACTGTTCACGGAACGATATATCATTAAAGATGTAACAGTTCTTAACAGATTCATAACAGGTAGCGATCACAAGATGGTCAGAGCAAAAATTAGTATTGACGGTAACTATGAAATGAAAAGAAAAATAATTAGAAACTGAGATCTAGTAGATAGAAACAAACTAGGGCAATATAAAGAGATGTACAAAGACCTATTAAAAGAACAACTTACCCAAAAATTAGACAACGATGATAAAGATATAGACGAAATAGACAACATACTTACAGCAACGATGATTACATCAGGAAAAGGAATAGCAAAAAAGAATCTAAAAAAGAACAACTATATATCAACAAAAACAAAGAAGCTTATGGATAAAAGAAGGAAACTGAACGAAGAAGGCAAAAGGAAATCGAGTAGAAACAAACATTAATGATGAAATCATAAATATAATCCACCATTTCTACTCAGACTTATATAAAACAAAAAAGGGACCACCAGAAGAAATTAAAAGCCAACTTAAGGCCAAAATCAAAAATGTCAACTCAGAACTACAGCCAGAAATAAGCAAATCAGAAATAAAGAAGGCGTTGAAAGAAATGAAAAACAAGAAATCGCCTGGAAAAGATGGAATAACTGCAGATATGCTGAAATATGGTGAAAAAGTGGTAATTAATACTCTACATTCCCTTTTTAACAAGATATTAAAAGAAAAAAGAATCCCAAATAGCTGGAAAGAATCCGTAACCATTATCCTACACCAGAAAGGGGATAAAGCAGATATAAAAAAACTATCGTCCTAGAACACTCCTCAATGTAATGTATAAACTCCTAAGAAAAATTTTAACCAATAGATTGACGACAAAATTCGACAGATACCAGTCGAAAGAACAAGCTGGTTTTAGAAAGGGATTAATTAGATAGATAGATAGAACGTACCTACTACCTATATTTCCGTCAAATTTTCCGTTATTTACGTTTTGACCACATTTCTTCCGCCCACATACAAAATTCATTATTTGAAAATAATTTTCATTTAACTGCTGATGCAACATGAAATGGTGACATTTTTTTACTTTGTTCTTTGTAGTTCAATTGGCGTATTTATGTGGCGATAATAATTTTAAATTATAGATTTTGATATACACCACTTCTGTTTGAAACATTTTTCATATTCTCGATAATTTAGCCGTAATAAAATAAAAATAGAGGTATGGAAGATCCTGTAAGATTATTGGATGAATTCAATTATTGATGAACTTACTGACTATCACACGTCCTCTTCCCAACATCGTCTTCCTCATCACTACATTCACGCTTCGGTTTGACATCCATTAAACTATTAACATTATGTCCATTGAGTCCATAGCTACCCCCACCACCTATACCATTACCGTTGGACGGCGACTCCCTACTTCTAGGGTTCATGTTGCTGGCATCTCTGGAGTCTGTCACTGGTCGCCGTTGACTGTTATTTTCCACCTAAACAACCACAATAGCAATTGCTTACATTCCAATCACAGAACGATGTGGAGTAAAAAAAATATACGGAAAACTTACCGGTTGGTGGTACAACGGATCAGGGTGATGTTTGGGTGCATTGTGGGCGATTCGCTGCCGTTTGTAGGAAAAACCATCAGAGCCCTCGTGATAACCTGGTCGTTTGTTGGCTGCTGATGTCGTGGAAATCAGGGGCGGCGATCCCGGTAGGGTGCTAGTAGGCGATTGACCACTTCCCGAGCTGCCTCCATCGCTACCGCCACCGGGAGGAGTGAGGGTCTGCGGTTTTCGATTGGAGATTGGAGAACTAGGGACAAATTTATTAATAATTGTTTGTGATCATATAGCTTATTTATTTTCAAGAAAATTTTAGAGGTAATTCGTTAAAAGAAAAAATAAAGGATGATTGATACTATCCATAGATATGTATTGTCTCTTTTATTCAAACATTCAGAAAAAATTGTTACGAGGCATGTTTTCAAAGCACCGTTTTGAAATCACGCAGCTGTAGTGCTATGATCGGCACTTAGCGCTTGCGCACCTTGTACCTACATGTATGGACAACCACATATGACATTACATAGCTATTCGAACTGTCACCGATTGACAATCCTGTCCACAGCGAAATACGTGCTGTTATTCGTTTTTCTCAATGCTAAAGGCTTGAAATCAGCTGAAATTCATCGCTAAATCAGTGAAGTGTATGGGTAATGATGGAATGATCCCAAAATGGGTTAGAGTTTTTACATATGGCCGCAAATTATTCAAAAATTTTATTGTAAATTGAGAGAGAACAGGTGATTTACGATTTCACCGTTATCTAAAGTTTCTCACAGTCTCAAGAAGTGGGATGATTTTTGTGATGAAAGATGGGTAGTCTACTGTACACTGGAATCGAAGCAGCAATCCATAGAATGGCGACATTAATCACCTTCGACTAAAGTGAAGTTTATTCAAACAATTTCTGCTCAAATAATCATGTGCACTATGTTGGGACATAAAGGGAGTATTTTTTGTCAATTTTGTGCCTTATTGTATTCAATATTGGGGCCATTAATATTCATATGCTATATTAATGATATGCCCAGATATGCCAGTTTAAATAACATATTTATGTATGCAGATGACACAACCATTGCTACATCTGCTTCAAGTGCCGAGGAATTAACTGTTCAACTGAATGTTATATCAGAAGATTTTACAGAGTGGTGTAAAAAAAATGCTTTGATTGTCAATGCTAAAAAAACCACAAGCATGCAATAGTACTACAGATCAAATTCAAGTTACCAGTTTTCTATAAAAGTGAATGATAGCCTGGTTCATTCTACAACTTCCACCAAACTTTTAGGTTTGTATCTTGATAGTAACATGAGCTGGGAATCTCAAATTAATCATGTTTGCAAAAGAATAAATAGTAGTTATTACGCAATATTGCAATTAAAAAACTTTCTTAAAAAGGAACAGTTATTGAATGTTTATTATACAATTGTTTATTCTCACTTAGCCTTCAATATTAATCTTTGGGGTAGTGCTGTGAATGCTGCAAGAGTGTTTGTCTCTCAGAAAAGGATAATTCGGTTAATTTTTGATTTACCATATAGGCATTAATGTCGACAATATTTTAAAGAATACAACATTTTAACAGTACCTTCTATATATTATTGTGCCTATATTATTCAATGTATACTACATGTAAAAGCCAATCTAACTACTTTTCATTTAAACTCTGATTATCACCAGTATCCAACTAGGAAAATGACCTCATCAGAGTACCAAAACATAATACAGCACGGTTTGAAAAATCCCAGTATTATATGAGTATAAGACTTTTCAATCATTTTCCCAACAGTATTAAATCTGAAAGGAATTTAAATAAATTTCGAAGTAAATTAAAATCTTTTTTATTGCAAAATTGTTTCTACAGTGTAAATGAATATATGGGGGATGTAAATAATTAATTCTATATATTTTTTATCCTTTTATTCTGAAATTGTGATGTTTTATAATGTATTTATATATTTTTTTTTATTCGACTTATCCAATATCATGTAAATGATCTTTCAGGATGAATAAATTATTATTATTATTATTGTAATCCGATCAATTCAGTAGCATACTGTGAAACTTTACGAAAATGTGATGCAATTTAAAACAAAAATCGTGGCTTGCTGAGTAACGGTGTGTTTTTGTTCTACGATAAAGCTACATAGCCGTCCATATACAGCTAATTGAACTCAAGAGCTTATCATTTATCTGGGAACATTTAGACCACCCACCATATAGTCCCGATCTAGCACTAAGTGATTACCTTTTGTTTCAACCTTAAAAAAAAGCATCTGGTGGACAACTCCATAATGATGATGACGAAGTCAAAACGACTACGCTTCAAGGGTTGTCTAATCAGACGGCAACCTTATTTAAGGATAAAATACAAAAGCTGGTCCCAGGATACGATAAGTGCCTATGGGCTATCATATGAATAAATGTTTTTTACTTTTTTTTTATTTCGAAACGGTACTTTAAAACATATCTCATATATACGTGCTATCATAAAAAATAGTAGTTACTGAGTAAATACAGTATGAGTACTTACTTAGGAGGACGCCTAGGAATCTCCGGGACAGAGAGCTTTTTAGCGACGTTCATTTGCGGTCTAGAGCTACTGACATGGTTGCTGCCTAGGCCGTTGGACAGATGACCATTGGTCGAAGAGTGGACGACTGCAGCAGCAGGCGGAGGGGGCGCAATGGAGGGCTTCGGCTGATACGGCTGTGACGACGGCTGCTTCAGAAGGCTTTCGCGCATCGATGGCATCTCTCTGCGCACCGGATGTAGCGACACTCTGCTCTGCTTTACCTTCACTTTGCGGCCTATATCTGTCTGGTTCGGTTTGATTTCTCTTGTGCTAAAATTACATAAGTCTACTAACAAAACCACACAGCACTTGTGAAACTACAATGTATAGTCTTCTAAAATAATTGGAGGAAAATAGAAAAAAAAACTTACCATTTGTTTTTATATTTATCTTCGGCTTCAGTCATTCTGTTTCGGGTAACTTCGTAGACGTCATCATTGGCATGGATACGTATTTTGTGTGGGATAGATCCGAGGCCTTCTAGGGGGCCTCGCGGAGACCCTACCTGTTTGATGCACTCGAAGCTGCCTCCAGGTCCTTCCATGTCGGCCGTGCTCGACATGGAGAAGCTGAAGGAAGTGCTGCCCATGTTGTGGTGTAAAGACGGAAATGATAGTTCCTGGAAGGAAATACAGCTATTGTAAGAGAACATTTAGACTATTTAAAGCTAAACCTAGAGATGGCTTTCTAACACATGACTAAGCGCCTTATAGTTTTTGAGGTTTTTGTATATTTTCGCTAATTCATTTTGAGTTTGTGCTTGTATTCCATCTAACAATCCCATTCAGACCTGGGTTAGGAACTTTGAAAGTAGTAGTTCAACATCACAGAAAAGAGGTGGAAGTGTCAGAACTGCTAGCACATCAGAATATTAAAGCAGTGTGAAACTGATTACTACATTTATCTATTGATTTGGATTTTGTGGTAGCCGTTTTGTAAGAGTGTTTGCCTTGAATTGATTTCGGATGACCTGTGACTGTTTCGCTAAGTCTTATAGAATGGGAAATAAGAGTATTGATAACTGAATTGAGTTGGACAAGGTGATGGTGTGACTGAGCTTTGAGATAACGGTTTGTATGAGTGGGTTTTCGATACACGGAATAGGATAAACTGTGAGGTGGGTTTTTCTGAATAAGAACATCAAGGAATGGCAAAGACGCTTCAGACTCAACTTCCATCGTAAATTGAATGCTCGGATGTATTCCATTTAGGTGGGAGAGGAAGAGATCTAATGTGTTTTTACCATGGGTCCAAATGAGAAAGGTGTCATCAACGTACCGTAACCAGCAGGTGGGTTTTAGATTTAATGAGGACAGGGCTACTGTTTCGAAATGTTCCATAAAGATATCAGCTATTACGGGAGGGAGGGGGATCCCATTGGGGCACCTTTGATTTGACGATAGAAATGATTTTGGAATGAAAAATAGGTATTAGACATGCAGTGTTTTATAAGAGATAATGTGTCTTGGGGGATTTGATGTTTAGAGTCCAAGATGGAAATGGTTTCATCGATGGGAATTGTTGGATAAAGAAACAATGTCAAAACTAACTAGTATATCTGAGGGTGAATTAGAAATGTTTTTCAGATATTTCTTTCTGTAGAAATCTCTACATTTCTGGGGTATATGAGGCTAAAGAGTGCTTCTCAAGTCCACATGTTAGACAGTCACATCAAGTTCGCAATTTTATTCTGTCGTGAATGAGTTTGAGCACCAATTTTAAAATATGATTGACTAACTTAATCTGCTGCTTTTCTAAAAAATGTACTGTCTGTACTACTGACGAAGCTTTTTTATCCAGTAAATGCTATTTCCTTGGATTTTTCCTCACAGTATGCCTTAATCATTTTTTCAGATGTTGTTAATTATAATTACAAAAAACACTTTCGATTAAGTTAAATGTTTTTTTTTTTTTGTAGATCGACTAAAACACTTGGTGCTTCAAAACATGAGTGTCCAATATTTGCATACGACGTTTACATACACTTGCGTCATTCGTGATATTTATCTTGTAAGATCTGTTAATTCCACTCATTGTTGTCGATCATCTTAGGTACCTTATCACTATCAGCTGACGAGAAAAATACTGATTTTGAATGGAAATGATAAAAATAGACCATTGTTTTTTAATCGTACAAATTCCTATTTTGTACTACCGGAAATTCAAAAACGGAAGAGACAAAACAATGCGCTAGAGTAAATACTTTGGAAGAAAGTAAGTCAGTTATTTTTAGCTTTATCAACATCATCAAAAATATTGGAATGTTATTACTTACCCCATTTTCATTGCCTAAGAACTTGATTGTCGGTTTATGATGGTAAAATTTGTTCTGAAATAAAAAAAAAACATCATTAATAATACTGTACATACTAAATACTGAAAGAAAGAAAGAAATTTATGATGCTTTATGATCATAAACTGATAAAAAAAATTTTATTGATTTTTATGCATAACTGAATTTGTTTAGAAGTATGTTTCCTTCAACACAGTCATTCAAAATATTCATTATCATTTTTGAAATTATTGCGTCGAAAGAATTTTGTCACGTAAAAAAGCAACACGGACCCATCGAACCCTATTTGTATTTATACCTAAAGTCTAAATCTTTATTACAACAGTTAATCTGGCAGTCGACCATCATACTTAAAAGATTAACAAACAAGGTTGAATTTCGAGCTAATCAAGTAGGCTTTAGACCAGAATCCTCCTGCATAGACCACATTAATACTGTGAGGCTAATAATGGAACAATCGTTTGAATGGAAAACACCCCTATACATGGTTTTTGTTGATTTCGAGCGTGCTTTTGACAGCTTATCTCATGATGCGATATGGAAAATTTTAGAGCTAAGAAACATCCCGCATAAAATAATTTCCATTATAAAGTCACTGTACACTGCAGCGAAATGCAGCGTGACACACAATGGGATCAACAGTGACGAATTTGACGTACTTACTGGAGTCAGACAGGGATGCGTGCTTTCTCCGTTTCTTTTTAACATAGCTCTAGACTATGTTCTCTCCAAACTAGACTCTGACACAAGAGGGATACAATGGACGTTAACCACACGCCTAAGCGATCTAGAATACGCCGACGATATCTGTCTGTTAGGACAAAGGTTCCAAGATGTGGCTGACCAATTGGAAACACTTTCCACTGAAGCCAATAAAATAGGTTTGAAAATCAATATTGGTAAAACCAAATCCATGAGAATAAATGCAAGAAACAACACGCTATTCACCATTAATAACATGCAGATTGAAAATGTGGAAAACTTTACGTATCTTGGAAGTGTCATAACAGAAAGCGGAGGTACAGAAGACGATATTCGTATGAGGATACGAAAAGCGCAACAAGCTTTCAGCATGCTCAACCCTGTTTGGAGGTCTGGAGACTACACTACGAGGACAAAGATCCGCATATTCCAGTCAAATGTCATGTCTGTACTACTTTACGGATGTGAAACCTGGAAAGCGACAAAAACCCTTACAGACAAACTGCAGGTCTTTGTTAAGAAATGTCTACGAAGAATTGTTCGTATTTTCTGGCCTAACATCATCAGAAACGAAGATTTACTACACCTGACCAAACAAAAGAGGGTAGTAAATGAAATAAAGTCCAGAAAGTGGGGTTGGATCGGTCACACACTCCGAAAAATTAACTCCAGTATTGCAAAGACTGCCTTAGAGTGGAACCCCAAGGAAAACGAAAAAAAGGTCGCCCAGTACAAACTTGGAGAAGATCCATCATGGACGAGATAAGAAAACAAGGAAAGTCTTGGAATGAGGTGAAGGCGCAAAATAGAACCCGATGGCGCGTTTTCACTGAAGCTCTATGCTCCACTTAAGAGTTCAAGAATCTTATATATATAATCTGGCAGTCAGGTAATGTTTTTGTGGATTATCTAAATGACTTTTATGATTCCGGAAATCCAATAATAAAGTCTAAACGTGTAACAAACAATGTAAACATCTCTTTGATGTGAACATCAAAGAGATGCTTACGATGGGTGTTATATCTATTGTAAATAAATTTAAAAAACGGATAATCATTGCTGGAGTGCAATACTATTGTTAAGTAGGCACCGTTCCGTCATAAAAAACTGGTACAACTTTTATAACCGAAAATCGTGTTTTTCGTTGATCTTGTCACATATGTCATTTTAATTTCTATGGCAACGTTGGCACTTCAACGAAATATTGTATCAAATCAGCTAAAAGGAGGGCTGTGCAACAGACACATTATAAAATTACAGTAGATGCATTCCAATGTTCCCTGTGCCAATACCCAACGTTTAAAGATCCTTTAAACATATTGGGCATTAACGCAACCCTCTCTCTGGTTATTAAATTCATTAGATGCGGTTTTTTGCTGTTAATGATAATAATACCTATATAAAAACTTTAAACATTTTTGAACGTTCTTTTTTTATTTAATTTGGTGCAATTCTGTTATCTGTGATGGCAACAACGAATTGATTCACGAAATAAGTCTGAACACAAGTTCACATTGGGAAAAAAAGTGTACCAGTTTTATACGAAGAGAACTGTAGTTATAGGTACATATTTTTAAATAAATAATGCATCTGCTATCAGTCGTTTGATATCGATGTTAGTGTTGACAACTAAGCTTCTAAAATTATAACCGAAAACCATTATCAGCCGCAGAACTGCAACATATTGCTAATAATTTATGGGATTTCGATGATGAAGAATATCCTGAAGTATCCTGAAGAAGAGGATGATCAGCAAGTAGTATTGAGTGATAATGAAGATGAATGTGTAACTACAAGTTCCCAGATTTCAGAGTGTGTAATTCTTAAACTAAGGATGGAATTAACTGGAAGAGTCAACTAGAACCGACAGGACGTATGTGATCCTGCGACATAATAAAAAGCAAAGTGTACAAAGTAATGTTAGCCCCTGGTTAAAGTGTAGATGATCCTGTTGATTCCTTTTGTTTGTGGACGAAAAAATTGTGAACGAAATAATGAAGTGTACAAATAAATAAGCCGAAAAAGTCCTGGGAATAGAGAACTGGAAATATTGCGACTCTGTAGAGCTATATGTCTTTATTGGACTGCTACTAACTGCAGTGCACCTGAGTGCCAACATCCATAATGTAGATATACTTTGGAACAAGTTTTATGGACCTACTATATTTAAAGCTACCATGGGGTTAAAACGATTCAAAAATGTGCCAAGATTTGTTCGATTTGACGATAAGGACACGAGGTCTAAACGAAGAAGGAACGACAAATTAACAGCAATACGCAATGTGTGGAATCAAGTTAACCAAAACTTTCAGAAACACTATTTACCAGGAAAAATCGAAATGGCTGGTTCGTATAATGTAGCCAGAAACAGCAGAAGTTAGCCTATGGTGATATTTTACATTGACAGAGAAAACAAAACGGCGATCGGATATTACTACAGGTATTCACAGATCATTGCAGCTTCAGAAACATACGGAGGACTGTTCAACCAGTGAGGCAGATCCAGATGTTGCTAAAACGAGCAATAAAAGAAAAATGTGTTCTTCTTGCCACATTTTTATGTCTTGAGCATAGCAATATTGTTTACAACAGTTGTTATAACTGTTTTATTAATCGTTCCGCTGATGAATCTGATTAAGTTAAGTTAAATCTAATTATGTGTTTGGGTTATTTTTGCCTTAGATTAGTAATAATAATAATAGTTATTACATATTTTTCTTCTGTTATGTTCTTAATACTGCATTTATTTTATTTTCTCTTGACAATAAATTAATTTAAATCCGCTTAGTTATGTTCAAAATAAACGTTTCGCCAATCTCGATCAGTTTTTTTTTTAATCTTATTGAATCATTAAACTTAAACGAATGTATCTCTGAGATACACCGCGACCTATACAGTACACTTTAGGACCGCGACCTCCGAAGGTTTAAAAACAAAACAAATTTATTTGTTTATAAACTTTATTTTGTAATATCACTTTATATTATATACAAAACAACGATATTTGAGTAATAATAAAGTTGCTTTCCATAGGAAATTACTTTTCTTTAATGGAATATTTTATAAACCACAACAAACCAACAAAAAGATATGAATAATACTATCAAAATAAATGTTTCTTATGAATACGGGATTCTCCTTTTATTTAGACGTCAATCGACAAAATACACGGAAAATCCCGGTTAGATAAAAAATACGATACATATACATATTATATGAAATTTGTATTCGAGTAATAGGTGATTATTTAAACACAAAACCATTGTTTGAAACCGTTAATAAAATGCCTCTCCCTACGAATATATTTAAATATTTTATTGATAAAACATAGGCAACATTTTAACGATTTTATAGTCAAATGCTTAACAATAATTAGTTTAATAATAAAAATCCAGTACAAATAATTGTATTGCGTTAAAAAATCATCAATTAATTATTTGTAATGTAAGATCGCTTATTTCATACTGTTAATACGAAGTGGTTTTATACCTAAATTAAAGAAAATGTTATTATAATAGGCCTATATAGGTAAATATTTGAGACGGTCAAAAATCCCTAGATTTTACACTAAATATCACGAAAATCCCTTTGTTGCTTTTATACAGAAATATCCCTAGATTCGGGGTAAATCCCTAGACCTGGCAGCCCTGTAAAAAGGGACAGCATGTAACAAGGGAATCCCCGAATTGCAAACGCCAACTTTACTGACATCTGGATGTAAATAGTTAATATTTAATTATAATAGTTGATAATAGACATTTTTGGATAAACTTTTGGATGAAATACAAACCGCACAATTTTAAAATCACATAAAAATAATCCGCATAAAAGGAGACCTCACTGTATATGGAATTTAAGCATATTTAATCACAATCAAGCGGACAGCAACCTAAATTCAAATATTTCTTTGTAGTTTTTTAACGGATCTTTTTTTTTCTTTCACTTTTTCTTTTTCTCTTTGACTAATATTTTACCGGTGTTGACTATAAGACATTACAAATAATAAAAAAATACGTAAATATGTAACATTAAATAATAATATTTATTGTCGAAATGATAATCCGTACGCAAATTGTTTCGACTAAAAATATGCGATATAAAAAAACAAGTACTCGACAACAAAAATAAAACCGAAAGCGGTCGTCCTATCAGATTTAAAAATATCTCAACTGTTCGACAACGTTTTGTTATAATGTCTGAAATTACTAATATTTTGACTGCGTAATCTGTATTTTTTTGGTAACTTGAAAAAATAGCGGTACGCATGCACCAGGTTACTTATGTTTGTATTTATACAATTTAAGCATGCTTCAAATTCGAAGAAATTTTAACCC